GGTCCCTCACCTTTCTCCCGGGCCTCCCGCCGCCGGCGCTCCTCCAGGTCCAGTTTGCTGACCAGCCTGCGGTGCTGCTGCACGAACTCGTCGTAGATGTACATGGGGTCCTGGGCGCGGGGCTGGGGGGGCCGGTAGGGCGAGCTGGGCTTGGTGGCCTCAGGGAAGGGGGTGGCTGGGGGTCTCTGCTGGCTCAGGATGCTCTGAGTGGACTTTTCCAGCTCAGCTAGGAAGGGGGTGTGGGTGAAGCCCCCGTGCTCCGGGGCACCAGGCTCCCGTCCCGGGGGGTATTTCTCCAGAACATCCCTCTTCCTTGACCCCTCCTCCAGCTTCTCGGGGCAGAAGACCCTCTCCACCTTCACCAGTGGGATGCCCTGACGGCTGGGCTCGAAGGGGGCCGGGTGGCCGTGGAGGGCATGGGGCTCAGGGAGGCGCCGCGGGGGATCGGGGGGGTTCTCCATCAGCGAGACGGGGTTCCAGAGGGACGTGGTGACAGGGTGGTGCTGGGGTTTGGGGGAGATGAGTGGTGGGGGCCCACCGAAGTGCTGCCCTGGCTCCCGGCTGCTTGGCTCGTGGCGGCTCGATCCCGACCTGCAGGGAGACGAAAGGACCGGAGAGGTGAGGAGCCGGCACCGCCACTGGAGAGCTGGCAGCACTCCAGCGCCAGGGGATTTTAGGGAAGAAATATGTCAGTTAGGGCTGCCCAGAAGGGTTTCTGCATGTGGGGCTGCCACACTTGTCCCCTCCTGTGCCACCAACCTGAGGGATGGCGGTAGAGTTAAGGCTGTGCGTGGGAGGATTGGGCAGGGATGTGGCTGCATCCCCAGGGTGCCAGGCAGGAGACCCCCAGGCTTGACCCCCACGTGGGGACAAGAGATCCACTAGTCCTGCCACAGCCCCGGCAGCCAGGGCAGTGCCCCGGTGCAGCCCTTCTCTGACAGCCAGAGCCGGAGCCAGCCCGTTAGCAGGATAAATATTTCATGTGCCCAAGCTGTGCATTTAACGCTTTTCCGCTCCAGCGCCCTGGAGCTCCGCACACGGAGCAGCGGGTTCAGCTCAGCCGCCATCGTGTCACCGCCGGCGGAGAGCACCACCTGCCCTCTGGGATCAGCCCCTCTCCCTCCCCACTGGATGTGGGATAAGGATGGGAATGGAGCATCCCCGGCTGCAGGTGTTTCGGGGTGACCTTGCTGCCTCCTCTCCCGTTGGGGTGGGAGGAGCGGATGGGAAAAGGAGCCTGCAGCGGGCACTCGCCTTTGTGCCGCCCCATGATCCGCTCCTTATTATCCTTGATGAGCCGCACTAATCCCCTGGATACCCAAAAATAACAAAGGGAGCAGGCGGCAGAGCTGGCTGGATGAGCCCGCACTGCTTAAGCGCTCAGCAACGGGGGCGAGCCAGCCCCTGTCAATCAACCAAGGGGTGCAGACACGCTCTGCTGCCCCCCCAAACTGCCCAGGCTCAGCACAGGTGCCCCCTAAACGAGGCATCCCAGTGTCTGGCTCCGCTGCACGGGAAGGGGGGAGATGCAATTAGCGGTGCTGGTGGCTGGGCAGCACCTGGCCACTCGCCGCTGGCCCCCGGCCACCTCCCGGGCTCGTCGCCTGCCGCCGCGCAGATGTCGGGCACCGGGAATGCTGGACGCTGCCAGCACAGCCGGCCTGGCTGGCACCGCCTGGCAGGGACCTGCTGGTGCCAGCCTGGACACCACGGCTTTGGCTCACAGGGATGTGTGAGGAGTAAGGGGTGCGGCAGTGGGGTGATGGATACCTGGGAAGGGGGCAGAGCTACCTACAACTCTGTGGGTACAGCCATGGGTTAGGGGGGAAAACTTAGAGATCATCATAACACAGCACCATGGAATGGTTCGGTGCTTTGCGATGACGGGACCTTAAATCTCATCTTGTTCCACCCCCTGCCATGGGCCCAGACACCTTCCACTAGACCAGGTTGCTCCAAGCCCTGTCCAACCTGGCCTTGAACACTTCCAGGGATGGGGCAGCCCAGCTTCTCTGGGCAACCTGTGCCAGGGCCTCACCACTCTGACAGGGAAGAATTTTTTCCCAATATCTAATCTAAACCTGCCCTCTTTCCATTTAAAGCCATTCCCCCTTATCCTATCATTCCATACCCTTGTCCAAAGTCCCTCCCCAGTTTAAGATATGGATATTACAGCAAAGAAAGCTGCAACATGGGAAAACGCAGCTCAGTTTTAGGGGGAATCTCCATCCCTGGAGCAGGGCTGGCATCATCCCTACCTGGGATGCTCAGGCCGGTGCTCGGGCTCAGGCTGGCTTGGGACACGCCCCATGTCCAGGTGCTGCTCCAGTACTTGTTGCCGGAACTCCGAGACTTGGGACTGCCGATCCTCCTTCTCCTGGCGCAGCCGGCGCTGCCGGGCCAGCCACTTCTCCTCCTCGTTGGTGCGGTGGATGAGCAGCGCCGTGGCCGCGCTGCTCCCCGGCAGTGGGAACACGCTGTGGTTGGGGATAAGGCTGGGAACTGGGTGGTGGGAGCCCGGTGGTGGGTGCAGGGGGTGCTGGATGGGCTTCGGCGTCGGCAGTACCGAGTCCTTGAGTTTGTCTGTGTTGGAAAAGGGGTGATGGAGAGTCAGGGCAGGGAAAGAGGGGGATACCCATGGGTGGCTATCAGGGAATTTTGGGGTGAGCACCCCTGAGGGTGGGAGGGATCCAGAGCTGTGGGGCTGGAGCTCAGCAAAGGGTGCTGCCCTCTCACAGCCAGCATGCACGGCACCGGGCAAGGTACCACCCAGACCGAGTCAGATGGCACAGGCACCGTGCTGCTGCTCTGAGCCACTGCAGCTGGGCTCTTGGCAAAGCAAGCTGGCAGCCAGGAGAGCCCAGCTCCATCCCCAGCCACCTCCCAGGGCCACCGACCCCCGTGGTTTTGCCATCTGGAGGGGAGAGGGGACCAAGGCAAGCTGTGCCAAAGGCAGCAACTCATCCAGTGCCATCCATGGGGATGTTACCTGGTCTGCCGGGTGCCAGCGGCTCCACTGGTTTGCCCCGCTCCTCAGCCGGGTGCCCCCGCAGCCCGTGCAGCTCTGCCACGGGGAGGAAGGGCCCCTCCATGGCTTTCACCATGCTCAGCTCCTTCTCCCGGGCACGCTCCCGCTGCCTCTCCAGTTCCCGCTCCCGCTCCTTTTCCCGCTCGCGTTCCAGCTCCTTCTCACGTTCCCGCTCCCGTTCCCGCTCCTTCTCCCGCTCCCGGTCGGCTTCTCGCTCCCTCTCCTTCTCCCGCTCCCGTTCCCGCTCCCGCTCCCGCTGCCGCAGCTCTTCATCCATTTGCAGCCTGCAAAGAAAAGCCCATAAGAAAAGCACCAACCCCAAACATCCACTGGAGCACCCCAAACCCACCCCCAGATGCCTGTCACCATCCCCCAGAACACCCCCAAGCCCCACCCCGTGCCTGTCAGCATTCCCTGGAGCACTCCCAGATGCGCACATTTTCCCCAAAGCACCTCCAAACAACCCTTGGTCATCTGTCAGAATCCCCTGGAGCACCCTCGAACCACCCCCAGTCACTTGTCAGCATCCTCTGGAACACCCCCAAATCTCCAGATGCCTGTCAGCATCCTCTGGAACACCCCAAAACCCCCAGCTGCCTGTCAGTGCCCCTGGAGCACCCCAAACCCACCCCTGGTCACCTATCAGCATCCCCTGGAGCACCTCAAAACCATCACCCCCACCCATCAGCCCTTCCGTACCTCTCGGCAGCGAGGCTGGAGATGCGCTCGGACTGGAGGGCGGAGAGGGAGGAGTGGGAGAGCTCGGGGGGATACCGCACCCCCGAGAGGTGCAGGTGCATGGCCGAGGGGTGCAGGGGTGGCAGCGAGCCCGGCGCTGGCAGCGGGTAGAAGGGGGACCGCAGTGCCGACAGGCAGTAAGACTCGTCCATCCTGGGAAGACAGGGATGCTCAGGAGGGCCAAAGAACCCCCCAGTTCCCCACGTGGAAGCTGGATGGGGGCCGCCTTCTGCTGGGAGAAGGTGTTGAGAGAGCCTCAAAATGCCCCCCGGTGCAGCCCAAACATCCTTTGTGGATCACTCTCCCAGTTCCCCAGCCCACAAGGCTCCTCCTCCAGCATTTCCCCGGGATCCCGAGGTGCCCACCTGAAGGCAGGATGTGGGAAGGGGTGATGTGTCAGGTAGCTGGGGTGGTAGTAGGCGGCGGCGGTGGCCGGGTCGAGGCCGAGGGGCGGCAGGGAGGACATGCGGAGGTCCTCGGCCGTGTGGTAGGGACGGAAGCTCCGCAGGTAATCCTCGGTGACCGCGCTGGGAGGCACCACGTGGTGGACCGGCCGCTGCAGGCTGGGGGGGTAGGGAGATGGTCACCATTCCACCCTGCCCCCCTGGGGAGATGTGACTCCCCAGGATGGGACAAGAGCTCGCAGGGGACACCTGCATCCTGCAACCCCCCACCCTCCATTCATTCCGACCAGACTCACTTGAGAGGTGGGAAGCGGGAGTCCTGGACCACGGAGCTGGGGGGCAGCCCGAAGGAGTAGGGTGTCCCCAGGAGGTGGGAGGGGACGGTGGGACCCCCTGCTTTCTCCTGTGTGAGTGGGGGCTCCGAGATGAGGCGCTCGCGGCCGGCGCTGCTGCTGCTGCCTCGTGACCCTGCTTCCTGCTGGAAGGCAAAGGGGCAGGAATGCCAAGGTGGGCATTAGGGGATGGCAGAGATCCCACAAGGATGGAGTGTCCCTGCTGTGTCCCTACCCAGAGACCCCCAACGGGTTCCCAGTGTGCTCAGGGGGATCCCTGACTGGCACCAGTTCCATTAGAGCATCCTCCTGCATCTAGGCTTTGGAAGTGCAGCTGGAGTGGTGTTAGGGTCTGGGGGGCTACACTAGGGGGGCATCAGTGGGAAAGGGGGTGCTGAAGCCCGGAAAGAGCTGAGGGCAGGACACCCATTACCTGCCTGGAGATTTATGGGCTGCTTTGTTCTCCAGAGCCATTAATCATTCGGGGAGGACACAGGCAGGGGAAATCCAGCCGGGCTTTGATAACAGCCATAACCCAGGGGTCAGCCTGGAATCCTCCCAGCTCCCCTCTGGCATCAATACCCCCACCCTGACATGGGGCCCCAGCCATCTCCCATCAGCTCCCATCCCCAGTGCCAGGATGGTCTCTCCCTCCAGCTGTGGAGGCACCCCCCAGCAATGGGGACCACTTGGGGTGACAAGGGAGCCAGCAGGGTCTGACACTTAAGGGGGGGCTCCCAGCAAGGCAAGCTTGGGTTTAAAATTGATTCTTTTTCATTGCACCTTCTGTGTTTAGCAGCTCAGCAGGAAGATGGCAAAACCCACAGCATCCCCCACCCTGTCCATCCCTCCCCGTCCCATCCCATCCCATCCCGCTCCCCAGACCCTCCAGGGCAAGTCGCAGGTCCCCAGCCATTAGGGACAGCCCCAAGGTCACCACGGCCGGCACAAAGGGCGCCGTGTCCCCCCCTCCCCGCCACCTCTGCCGCCTGCACGGAGCAGGCTCATTGTGCGTGCCAGGCTCTGCTCCAATTACCTCCCGTCTCGGGGCGTCACGCTGCGAGCACGGCTCTGCCACACAATAACCACGCTCGGTTACCCCGCGCCGGGGAGAGGCGGCACGGGGAGGATATGGGGGGACACGGGGGTGGGGAGCACCCGGATACCCCACACACCCCACTGAGCGCCCGGCGATCGAGTTCCATTTATTTTCCTCCCCCGCCCTCGGCGTTTTGCATCCCCTACCCTTGCCTCTCTCCGCTTTGTGGTTTAATTAGTCTTTCCAAGTGGCATAATCCCCCCGGGAATCTGCTTGTAGCATGCGGAGGAGAGGAGAACCACTAACGATGCTTCTTAATTAGCCGCTCCCCCCCTCCCCGCGCTTCCTTCTTCCTCGAGCTCCCCTCTGGATGGCAGCCCGGGGATGATGGCAGCCCAGGAATCATGGCAGCGCGGGGACATGGCAGCCCCGGTGACTACAGCAGCTCGGGGACACCACGGGGAGGAGAAGGGACGTAGTGGGGGGCAGCCCTGTGATCCCTCAGGAGCAGCGCAGATCACAATCACACCCTCCAACCTTTGAGGGGGCTGGGCACCGAACAGACACAGCCATACCTGTCTGCCCTCGCTCCTCCAGACCCCGTTGACCGTCTTGGTTGGGGCGATGGTGACGACAGGCGGCGTGCTGGGCACGCTGTGCCCCCCCGGGGGCACGATGATGGGGCCCATGGGGCCACGTTTGGGGGTGCTGGCGGGGGAGCTGTGGTTGGTGGCTGGCGAGGAGACTGGGGACGACTCGCTGCTTAGTGAGGACCCTGAAATTAAAAATTAAAATGAATTGGGAAAACACAGCAGTTAGCCAGATGAAAGCACCCTCCGAAAATGACAGAGCCACTCCTGACAGGATGCCCCACTGCAGGGACCAGGGATGCTCGCAGGGTGGTCAGCATCCCACCAGATACCCAGACCGGACCCTCATCCTCCCATCCTGGGGTTCCCAGGGAGCCTGTACCAAGGTAGGTTCCCACTGGTGCAAAAGGGCTTCACCCCACATAGTGGGATGGGTACCCTCTTTCTCCCTAATAGGGGCTTCCAATCCCACTAGTCTCATAAAGCCCCTTGGCACAAGTGACACCAATGAGATGACAACCCCAGATAGCCACATCTTCCCAAGTTGAACCCAAAGACTCCTTAATCCAGCTGCAAAAGTTTCTATGCACAAGCCAGGGTACCCAGAGACACTGGGATGGAGTGACTCCCCAAAACCCTTGAGCAAAGCTTTGGCCTTATTTGCATAATACATCTGTATTTTACATTATACCCACCCCAGGGATGCTGGCCATATTTCCAAATGGAAAAATGGAAATGGAGTTAAAGCAGAAAGTGGGAAAAGCAGAGATGCAGCAGAAATACAAATTCCACATTAACCAGGGCACACGGTGCCTGGCGTCTGCTCCATGGAATGCTGTCCAATCCTCAAACCCAGCCAGGCGGCCTGGGGGGCTCTGACCCCCCAAACCCTGCTCCCTCCAGCCTGGAGTCTGGGTCAGGGGGAGGATTCTGGCATACCAGCAGGGATCAGCCTTTGGAGAGTGAGGAGTGGCCCATGGTCACCACAGGATGCCATCAGAGAGCTGACAGCGATGCTCCCTCTGGCACTGAGCCCGGCACTGAGAGTGGCCTTGGCTCCCCTGAGTGTGCAAGGTGTCTCCTCAGCTTTCAGGTGTGCAAGCCCACTCCCCTGAGTGTGCATGCCAGCTCCTTGCCCTGTGAGCACACCAGCCGGCTCCCCCAAGAGTGCCAGCAGCTGCTCCCTCACCCTGTGACCCTGCAACCCACCTCCATCCCCTCGCCTTCCTTGTGACAGCGGAACCCCAGGAAGAAGCAAGGTCAGGAATGCCACGGGGAGGCAGGAGCATCCCCAGGCAGCGGGAAGGATGCTGGGTGGGAAGGATGCTCCAGAAGGATTCTCAGCGGGAAGGATGCTCGGCGGAGCAGAGGCCAAGCGGAGCATCCCACTGCCGGCCGCCCTCCTGTATTAATTATTCCCGAGTCCTCCGAATCGCTTTCATTTGAAGAGCAGCAAGGCTGGGGGAAGGAGAAAGGCTGTCCCCGACAAAGGAGGCCGCCACACGGATTTGACACCCACTGAAGTCTATCTTGTCAGCGCAAGGCCAACAACAATTAGCAGCCTAATCCCCTCTGAGCTGGGAAGCCATTACTCACCACGCGATAGCGTTAACAATCAATACCATCACAATGAGCCCGGCAATTAATGAAGCTAAAGTCTTACTTCAGAACCTTAATTCTCGCTGTGTGGCTTTAAACGGGAGGGTTTGTGATCGTTATAATTAACTGGTGGTATTCAGCCAGGAGTTAGTCAATGAAACTAATCTGGATTGGAGATGACAAGAGGCACAGTGTGATGGTGTCACCTTTGTTTTCTGACCTCCCGCTTCCCGCTCGGCGATAGCAGATTAGCAGCCCGGGCTGACAGGCAAATGTAATTAACAGCTGAGACCCTGACGGAGAACAGGGAAAAAAGAAGGGAAGGGAGGGTGGAATAAAACCCACCCTGCGGACAGCCTGGGGCAGGACAAGACGCAGCAGCCCCCGGGCAGGCAGTGGCTTCGTGGGGCTTTGCTGGAAGGAGCCCCTGGGCAGGTGGTGGTTTCATGGGGCTTTGCTGGGATGGGGTCGGTTAGGATGAGCCCCAGCAGTTTGGGACGCTGTGGGCCAGTGGGACATCCCTAACAGATGCCCTGGCAGAACTGTGAGTCCATAAAGCCAGAAAAAAGACAGTAATCTTGGGTGGATCTTGTTGGCATCACCCCATAGCTGGCAACTACTATGGCAAAGCATCTCCCACAGTGGGAAGGGAAGAGGGGTGAGTATCTCCTGTTGTGGGAAGTGGGTGAGGATTTTGGTGCAAAGCCATTAATTTCCTGGTGCTAAAAGCCATTGCATGGAGAAAAACCTCCTTCCCAGCACACTCCCAAACCCACACCAATTAAAAACCTCCAGGATGAGCCACTTGGGGCATCCAGATGGGTGAGGGCAGGGGGGTTTTGCAAACAAACTATGCATGTGTTAAGGGTAAATCCAAAGGGAATGTTACTGCTTCTCCCCAGTGCCATGAAATCCATGCCCAAACCTGATGATGTGCTTTGGGATGGGCTGAGCAGTATTGGGAGGGCATGAGCTGTGGGGTGCCTGGGGGGAAGAAAAAGCAAAATAATCCCCCAAACCCAGTCGATTGCCCCAAAGGAAGCAGATGGGTTCCAGAGGAGGCAGCTGGGGAGAACCAGGAGTTCCCAGTAAGGATGAAACATCACCAAGACATGGTCCCCTCAGTTCACAGGGACCTGGTGTCCCCACATGCTTCCTTGGGAGCAGCTGATGCTTCAGGTCATGGCTGTGATGGGGTTTTTGGGGGCTGGTGGGGGGCTACGAGGAGGGTCTTGCAGACAATCCTTATAAAAAAAGGGTTTCCCAAATAGAGCCTTGAAAAAATGGTCTTGGAAAAAGGCTTGTCCCAGTAGCGCCTTGTTAAAAGGGTCTTTTAAAGAGGGTCTTCCAAAAAGACCCTGCTAAAAATCCCTTGCAAAGGGGTCAAGTGTCTTCTCCAGGGATCAAAGTGCCCGGGTGGTGGGCAGTGACCCAAGGGGAGCACCCACCAATGCAAATGACACGGATAAATGCTATTTCATCCCAAACTGATGATGCCAGCAGCCTC